CAGTCCCGCCAATAATGCAAGCCACGACAACATATGAAATTCTCTCCATCTTCAAACACGCATTTGGTGCTGAGAAATAGTCCAAAAATCATGGGGTTTTTTTTAAAATTCAGATACGCTTATACACCAACATTTTACATTGTAATAAGCGTTCAGTAAAAACCAAACAGTCAAATATAAATTATCATTACACGTCAAATACTATATTAGTCTGCAGAAGGCATGCTTCCCTGGATCTGTCTTAAAATAACCAAATGAAACTCCCAGGCTCGGATCTACTAACCAACTAGAGCGTAAGAATAACACACATCGGAACGGCATAAAGAACATAGTAGATATTGAAAAGCAATTAAGCAGCCGCTTTTTCTTTGGATTCTGAAGAAAGCTTCCAAGGGCACTTCCAACAGAAACCAGTTTTTTTAAGTAGAACAGAACCAGCAAGCCTACGATGCAGACCGGCTGTTACATCCTCCGAAGATCAAAGCATCCTATCATTCGAGGTCCTCTATCGTATGATGTCTCCGCGAGCTATATAGCAAAAGAGGAGCATCACATCCTAAACTCGAGTCGTAAAGCTCAAGAAGAGGCCAGCTTCATTCGCAACATACACCAAAAGGTACCAAGCAAGCATCAGATTAAGACATCTCAGCTCCTCCACAGCAGGGGAGAGCATATAGGGGGGGATTTCTTTGTCGAACTTTAAAAGAGATTGAGAGGGATAGGGGGCCCTGTTTAAGATTTAAAGGTTACGGAAGAAGAAAGTATGTGATCCTTACCCCCAAAGGTTCACTCTTTGGGTTGATACAGATGATACCTAACATAGCTATCCTGCTTACCTTCCAAGCAAAAACCACGGTCACCCCCCACCATCCATCCACATCTCTGATACATTTCTACTCTTCCGAGCCGTAAGATGTCAGTCCATTAGTACTTCTCAAATCATAACTCTCGTGATATCGCCAACAAATTTCACGATATGGGTTCATGCCAAATGCCTGCAAATTTCTCAAGCTCAGCATTACCTGAATCGTCCTGCGGCTACCTACTCCAAGAACTAAAGGCAAGGAGCTGCTAGGCCAAAATAAGGCAAAATAAAGTTGATTATATACCTTCTCGTGTATGTTCTGTTAACCTTCTTCTATGTTTTGAAACAGCTGATATGGGATGAAGTTGGACAAGATCAGCTCGAACGAGACAGGATTCTCCTTGAATTAGAACAAGAGTGTGTACAAGTGTATAAGAGAAAGGTTGACAGTGCGAATATCTACAGAATCCGCTTACATCAAGCACTGGCGGATGCAGAAGCTGAGTTCACTAACCTTCTCCTCTCACTAGGAGAAAGATCATTCACAGGCCGGGTAAGTTTTACTGATCTATGATATGCCTTAACCGAATGTAACGTAACATACAAATAAAAGTTTTCCTTTATAACGAACAGCCTGAGAAAGTCACAGGAACACTAAGAGAGCAGCTGGAATTGATCACTCCTGCCCTTCAAGAGATGCAGATGATTAAACAAGAAAGGCTGACCCTGTTTCGGGACATTCAGACTCAAATGCAAAAGATCACTTCAGAGATAGCAGGTAACTCAGGATGCAGTAACATAGTGCTGAATGAAAATGATCTCTCACTCAAAAAACTCGCGGAGTTCCAGAATGAGCTTCAACAACTTCATAGTGAAAAGGTACCCCTTATGTAAACACGATGAAACTAGAAGATATCCAACAAAATGCTAATCTCATTATTTCACCTTTTTCTTCTTGGATGAATGAAAGAGTGATAGACTCCAGAAAGTGGAAGCATACATTAAATATGTTCATGAACTTTCTGCAACAATGGGGATGGATTCTTCCCAGATTATAACTAGTCTAGATCCAAGCCTCAATAGTCAAGATGGAGAGAAAACAAGGAACATAAGTGATGCTATCTTAGACAGGCTAAAAAACACAGTGGAACAACTCAAAGAGGAGAAGCAAAAGAGAACAGAAAAGGTAATTTTCCTAGATGTAGTCACAATTGTTTTCCTTCTGATATGTTGCTTATAAGGAACGAGGATACGGTATAATCAACTGTGCAGGGTGCTCACATCATTCATAAAGTTCCAAGTCCCAAATCCATTCAGATATAAAAACAAGGATATTATTAAAGATATATATTACATGGTCAAATTACATCCATAAAAATATATATATATAACATTGTGTTAGTGAATATATCACCAAGTCCAAGTTAGGCACATAAATAATACAACACGATCACCATTTACTATTCTGCATTACAAGATAACTTTGCTCTTGGTAATGACTAATGGCATTTCTGTATCAATGCTGGTGGAAGAGATTCAGAAGATAAATGCATCACATTCTCTTGAACACATAAGTTAGCAAAACAAAATATCCACAACAGCTAACAAAAGACGTGCTTCTCACTTCATTCAGAACTCTGATACGAGTTTCAATTAACCTTGTGCTTCACCAAAAAGGATTGACGTCATAGCCCCAGTACAAATTTGACAAATAAGTAAAATCACAACTTACTCCATTATGAGTGCTATATGTTGGGATTTGATGTGTAGATAAATACATACTAAATTACTAATTCCCTTTGAGTCATCCAAACCTGAAGCAAACCGAAAATATTTGAGTTATCAGGTCACCATTGTCAGTCCAGACCTCATTTCATGGTCATGTGCTGAATATATAGGATGATCCAAGGTACCCCCAATACCTCGTCTAGGCTCCCGTACCCATGTTTTACACGTGTTCGACTCCCACACTCCTTGGACACTTCTTACATACCCCTTAAATATGCATGCATTTATTCGGACCAAATTGACTAATAAATGTTTCAGTTTAAAACACCCATCATACGCTACTTGGATATATATCTTACACTTCATGTCCACTTTCAGCAACTCACCGTATGCGGATTGAGTTTGTTTCAACATACACCCAGTTTTGAGATATGATTTTAAAGGGTTATGTAGGCATCTAGTTAAAAAATGAGCCGTTTTCCAATTTATAATCTACTTTAATAAATGAAACATAAAAATGTTTTGGGAAATTTACTTTTCATAACATGTGAATGACAATACAAAAAATGGTCCCATATAAATTATTAACTTCAATACGTGTGTGCATTGAGCTAAATGCTTTATCGCAACATATAATTTGATTAATGTGGAAATAAAGATCAGATGTTCACTCAATAAGAGCAACAAGCTAATTTAGACAGTTATATTCAGAAAGTGGCAAGTACACACCAGAAATAATTAACAAAATATAGTTTGGTCCAGCTATCCGGTACCCACTGAAGAAAAAAAAGATTGTCCAGGGAAACAATTCTAATTGATTTCAAATCCAGTAGCAACTAGTGATGTGCACAAAGTTTCATGATATTGTATTACATTCTTCTCTAAGTTTATGAGCAATAAATCTACAGAAAGCGAAAAAAAAAAATTTAACCACATATTTGCAGCTTCACAGGCTTTGGAAGACCTTGACAAACTTGTGGAATCTCATGGACACACCTCTCGAGGACCAAAAACCATTCGCTCACCTCACAATGTTTGCATCATCACCTTCAGGGTGTGAAATATCCAGCCCCAGAAGCCTTACCCTTGATATAATTTACCAGGTAAAACGCACTCATAACCAACTGGAGCATTCCAGAAGTTATACAGCGTTCGAGATTTTACATTAAAGTCTCTAGACTATTTCTCCACCTTAACATCATAGATCTGCTTTGGAGCATAATATAGGTTGAGGTGGAAGTTGGAAGATTAGATCAACTAAAAGCAAGCAAAATGAAAGAGCTCTTTCTAAGTAAACAAATAGAACTAGATGAGATCAGCAAGAAGTCACATATGGCAACTGCTTCACAGGCAGAGATGGATAATATACTAAACCTCATCACGTCTGGTGAGCCTTGAGCTTAACATTCTACAGCATGAAATAAATTTCTTATGGTTTTTGTCAGTATTAGCTTAAATCTATCATATTGTGAAATTAGTCGCTTAAATCATTGAAATTGCTATTTGGTCCTTCAATTCTTAAGTCATTTTGAAATTCGTTCCTCAAATCATTGAAATTGCTATTAGGTTCGCCAATTGTTTACTTGTTTTGAAATTAGTATCTCCAATCATGAGTATAAATAATAATCAGAGGGATGAGAATTGAGGGACCTAATAGTCCACAATAATAGATTTTACTTAGTAATCCCTCTAATTTCATAATACCTTAAGAATTAGGGGATCTATAACAATTTCAATGATTTGAGGGACTAATTTCAAAATAACTAAAAAAATGAGAGACTTCATAGCAATTTCAATGATTTGAGGGCTAATTCCAAAATATGAAAGATTTTGGGGACTAATGTCAAAAAAATTCTAATAATAGTCATATGAATTAAATCTCGTCTGTACTCCTGAAGGACAAATTGACCATGAGGATCTACTCAACAGAATAGAAGAGCATATATTGAAAGCAAAAGAGGAAGCCTACAGCCGGAAGGATATAATGGAGAAGGTAGAAAAATGGTTGATATCGTGCAATGAAGAACGATGGTTGGAAGAGTACAGTCAGGTGTTTCCTAATTTTAATCTATTTCGACAGAACTTCCAGCACTGAAATTTACCCCCCAAAAAAAATTCACACACTTTATGTAATTAATCTTTTTTTGTTACAGGATCAGAACCGTTATTCAGTTAGCCGAGGTGGTCACAGGAACTTGAAACGAGCAGAACGTGCAAGAATAACAATCAATAAAATTCCAGGTACGAACTTGATGATGACAGCCAGTAGTGACCACAAATAAACTAATCAAAGATAGTAATAAACTAACAAAATTTAATGCAGCTTCGGTTGAATTGCTTATGGCAAAGACTAAGGCCTGGGAAAATGAAAGAAATAAAGTTTTCTTGTACGATCAGGTAAGGTATCTTCTACATGTTCTTTTAATTAACAGCTAGCATGAATGTCGTGTCTACTTTATATAATATCTTTTATCTCTCAAAAAGTAGTAGTATATCTATATCCAACATACATGCCAAACTGACATGACAAGAACATCAACAAGCAAACATTAGTGTATGTGCAAGTGCATTTAAGCTTGTGTTGTCTATCTCATGAGCATAAAAAGAATGCTCTGCATTCATCCATAAGTTATTAGGTGGATATTTGCTGTGACTAGTGAATTTTGATGACTATCCTGGAGGAAGTAATAGAACATAGAAGTTGGGAAGATGGGACGCTATAGCAAAACTAGACCCAGGTTCAATTGTCCTGGGTTCGCGGTGGAAAATAACCTAATTCACAACCTTCAGTGACCCATTAAAGTACAAACTATTTAAAATTTTAAAAAGAAAATAACTCTGTTTCAAAGGAATAAACAACAAAAAACATGAGAAATTAAAGAGATAAAGTATTGCATACCTTAATTGCAACATGATTTTCAAGGTTCTTTTACCATTTCTGATATCAACTAGCATATTTCTTAAATTTGACACTAGCAACATCTCCACTTCCTACATTTAAGAACTGAACCTAAAATGTACTATGCACCGCGGAATACCGCATGAGCAATAACCCCTCATACCCCATTAGTGGAGTACCACGCTCCTGTACCCCTCCCGTGAACCCAAAAAGAACCGGGTTCCGTGCAACTATGCAATAAAATATCAAGATTATAACAACGAGGCAAACTAGCCAAAAGCAAAAAGATACAGAAGAAAGAATACAGAAATTGTCATCATCATCAAGAGCAGAAGATGAAAACTCCTTCCCATTTTTCTTTGGCTATGACTTAGTGTCGGTCTGATGTTTACACCTAAAAGTTTCACAGGGAAAACTGGTGAGAGTATTACTGCTACTGGACCATAGAATTTTCTGGTGAAACTAACATAACTCAAAAGCAGAAGACAAGAACTCTTATCCCTTTCTATGGCCAAATTGACTTAGTTAGGGTTGACCTGAGGTTTACACCCAAAAGAACACATGCGCAAGACGCAATGCAATGTGTGCAATCAAGTGGAGGGAGGCACAAAATAGAATTCATGAGCCAATGACTTTACAGTAACTAAATAATTATGATAATAAAACATAAAATGGAATCACGATGCCAACACGAGTCCTGTGAATAAAAACTGAGAAACAAGCTCTACAAAAGAAGAAGTATTTTGTATGAAAAAATATTGAAATGCATAATTAGCTTTCTTGTTTCTAGTTTTCTACTATATACAACGCACCACTAACCAAAGTTGCGTACCGAAGAATCCAAATTTTCTAAGTGGCAAGTTGTGTACCAGAATTCGTAGCGTGACCCGCTATGTACCGTATATTGTGTAACTATGGATCAGAGAATATTCCGTGAAACTAACATAACACAAAAGCATCAACAAGAAGTAATTGCGCAAGAGAGACAGCATAAACATGATGAAGCATTAACCAGTTCTAAATTATTCTCAAAATTCAAAAACTTTTGCCATTGGTCTTCATCATAGAGAAAGATATCCATCTTGTAGATGATTTCAGAACACAGAAGCAATTTCTGAAGTAGAAGCACTGAATTAGCTCTAACTGCATCTCTGTTCAACTTTGAACTCTTGATAAATTTTATGTAATTCTAGACATATAAAGCATAAGTAGGAGTTATTAGGTTGTTAATTACAGAGGACAGTTGCACAGATGGTTTTGTAATTCCTATACTAGTTAGCAGTTTGAGAATCTCTTCAGTTAGCAGCTTAAATATGGAAGTCCCATGCACAAAGAAACATAGGAAAAATAGACCCATTGGAGTTGTACAGAGGGTTGTAGGATCATATTGATGCCAAAGAGAGTTCCACCTTTTTCGCTCTTCAGCAAAACGGATTTTTGTTTGAGGGGATGCATTCTATACATGTTAACGAGTCTGGCACCTTGTAACTCTTTGAGGCTACCATATATGCTTAATAAGAAAAGGATTTCAGCCATCAAACAAGGTGTAGGAAAATATGCAGTGACAGACACTTCTAACCTTTATTTATTTATAGAACCATTTATTTATTTATTTATTTATTTTTCTTTTCTTTTCTTTTCTTTTGTTTTCTTTTTTTTCATTATCTTGATAGTTAATAAAAATTTCACTATGTAAAAGAGTATGTATTTTAGAGATCATCATAATTTCCAATGGAAAAAAATTGTGTTATTCTGTTTTTCAAGAAGAAATTCAACATATTATTGCAGCCAGATATAGGATCTTCAATGTTCTTTTAGATCTAATATGATTTGAATAAGATTTCAATTTGACACGAAATATGCTGATCAGAATTTGAACCTGCTCTAATGAATATCAAGGTTTTAAATGTCGGTTATCGGGGATTGATAGCGGAAATCGGGGATAAGTAGTATTTATCAGAGTAATATACTAGCAAATAATAAACAAACATAAGCTTGAAAAATAATATAATGTTAGTCAAAATGGAATAATAAACTAGCAAATAATAAGATAACATCAAGAATGAAGAACCATCTACGCATCTACATAATTATTGTTTAATCATGAGATTCATAAACTAACTTACTAAGTTGATATTTAGTAGTTATGAGCCATTATAAATATCCATAAACAAACATAAGCTAATCTCCAATCAACCAAGTTCCAAAAGCAACAAATAGTTCATAATTTGTAAACATTCAAAGAGCAAATCCAAAAGAAAGTAAAAGCTCACAAATCCTACTTATCGGCCGATAAAGCCGATATTTAGAGCCTACTTATCGGCCGATAAGTACCTTTATCGCCGATTACTCGCCGATAAACCTCAAAAAACAATAACCGACTAAAAATCCTACTTATCCTAGCGGAAAACTCCCAAATCCGATAACTCGGCGATAATATCGGATTATCGGCCGATATTTAAAACCATGCTAATGATAAATGAGAAGATTGCGTGAAAAGAAAAGAAATTGATTGTAGGGGAGGTCAGAAACATCAAACCAATATGCCAGAAATTATTGTTTAAAATCATCGCTTTTCCCCGAATTATTGTTTGAAATGATAGCTAAGAATTCCAGAAACTAAGAACTTCACTGTGAATGTGGTCCGCAAAGTGAATAAAAATATTTTTAATAAATATTATAGCTTATGTGGGTGGATTTGCTTTTCTTATGTGAAATACTTTCATCGACTAACCTTCTGATTATACAGGTTCCTCTTTTGGCAATGCTAGAAGAATATATCTTGTTAAGGAAAGAAAAGGAGGATGAGAAGTACAGGCAAAGGGTAAGTTCTAATTTTACCCACCAAAAAGGTGAAGCTAGAAACGCAAACAGAAGGAATATCAGGTGATAACTAAACAAGAAGTTACAATTTTTCCAACATTTGCCAATAGAACATTGTTTTGGTACAGGAAAGAAAACGGATACAAGGTCAGGTCACAGCTGAGCGGGAAAGTTTGTTTGGTTCAAGGCCAAACACAAGCGCTTGCCGCCCGTTAACTAGAAACTTAAACGGAAGTTTTAGCAGCTCTTCTCCTATAAATAAGACACCATCAATGGGAACTCAGGAGCTCAGATCAAATACTTTCACAGCTCAAGTAACAACTGTCAATAGGGTTAAGAAGACAAAGATGCACAAGATGCCAATGCGTCAAGTATACAATTCACATCTCAGAGCAGAAACAGAATCAGTAATTTCATTCACACTTTCAGGCCCATCATCTCCTTGAATGTTTCATCAAAGGGAATATTTCGTCTTGGTTTACGTTATTTTTGCATGGACGATTGAAAATATCCCAAATGCTTTAAGAAACATCCCCAGGTTGATGATTTATGGTTAAATTACCTGTCATGATATCATAAAGAACTGAAAACAGACCTCAGCTATTGCATAAGAAAATTGTTGTAAATAAAACAACTACTTCATGAATGACTCTGTCCGATGTTATACTGCATGTACCTTTTGCTCATAGGCATAGATATCTACTATTATGTGGATGGTACTAGTCCTTTTCTGGCAGTGGATGAGATAAGCGCCACTTTTGATGAGTCAATCCATGCTTGTTGTGATATAAAACCTGACAAGACACAATTCCAGCAGGTTACAGTCAATGCACTAAATGGGCAGTTTATTAGCATATGAAGCGTGATAAACTCATAGTTGAAAAATCTGATTGCTGAAGAATTGTCCTTTCACACATCTCTACAAACACTGAAATATGCTGACAAATAGATGTACAATTAACAAAAACTAGGTTATAAAAAGTGCAGACAGAACTTATGACATGATCAGTACTCCATAGGTATGATCAAGATTTTGCAGATAAAATTTAATTTCTCCATCAAGTTTTTCGTCTAACTATAATAATTAATCAAGCAGATGGTCAAGTGCCCCACTAACAGATAAACATGGCATTTCTTTCCATGTAGGTACGTACCTCCTAGATTGAAAATAATTCATTCAGAACTAAATGTTTAACAATCATCAGGTTATGCATATAATATCACAAAACTAGTACACAAGCACACATATCAAATGTCAATGATCTAACAAATTTAATTCAATATTGCACTAGTTTAGAGTTACTTATGTTTTTTTTTATGGAGATGACCCCAACGAGGGAACCTAGCCTCTTTTAAGGGATTAACCTTTGAAGACATGGAAACCATTGAGCACCGTAAATCTCAATGATAAGAATTCCAGGTGATTTACCTTTTAAATACAGTTTTTACCTTAAGTAATCCCATGCTTATGTGATTGCAACCGTAATCATTTTAGCTTAACTGATCCTTCCAAACATAACCTATACGCTAGACAGTTCAGCCTCAACTGATCCTTCAAACATAACAATCTGTGCTACATTTTGCAGTTTAACAATCATATTCTATTGCTTTGTCAGTGTTAATACAAAACTAGCATTGAAAATAATGATTTCAAGACCATATATAGAGACTCATTGGCCCTTGCACCTTACAGTGTGTTTGGCTAGAAGTAGCTGCAATTGCAAGTGCATTTGCAAATCATGCAACTCCACTTCCTGCTATTGCAAATGAGAACAGTAACTTCCTTATTCTTAAGCCAGTTTTTTCATTTTTAACAACAAAAGACCAAACAGATGTCTAGAAACTTGAATGTAGTGGAACCCCACGAAACTATAACTACTTCTAACCAAACACACCCTTAGTTGAGAAGGACAAAATTCCTAGCTCTAACTAATTCACTATTTATGAACATTCCGGGAAACAGCAGATATTACCATGCTTCAGTATGTCATTGATCTTTAGAACGAAAAAAGTAAACAGGTAGAAAAAGGATTACATTCTGTAAAAACTCGAAATAAAGATGAGACTTACAAAATATTGAGTAATACCCTCCCATGAATAAATTAATTCTTAAAACATAAATAAGATTAAGTATCTAAAAAGGTACTCAAGAAACATTCTTCTCCATATTCAAAAGTTCTCAAACACGATATGAAGTTCAAAAAAAATCAAGTCATGCATGAGAAAGTCAAGCTGTCATGTTACAAAAGCTAGCGTGCAACTCACAATTTTTTGATCATCTCCTCCACTACACAAGTATTCATCATTTGGTGCGATTGCGACCTGTAGTGATTACTCAAGCCAATAAGTGTGACACAATAATGAAAAATAATCAACAAACACAAATGCAAATAGTAAATAGATTCCCAGAGCAATAAGGAAAAAGAGTGACAGCTCACAGTATTAACAGATCTTGTATGGCTGATTAAATGCCTTACACAAGGCATGCCTAGGGTAACATCCCACATCGCAATGCTGCACACAGACACCGTTATTAGCTTTAAGACCAGAAACTAGAGAAAAGAGACAGCAGTTACCTGCCATCGCCACTTGCAGTAACCAATACAGGCTCCGTGTGAAGCCACCGAGCATCATTTACACCCTGATCACCCGCGTCGACATGACTGTAGCACAAATGTAAGATATTGTACATAAGGTAGTGAATATTTCTTTTTAGTACTTTTCTATGTTTAGTATAAATATACTTGTTCACTTATTCATATAATGCATGTTATTAATTAGGATTTTAACTTAATAAGAATTTTCGTTCATTTAGAAGTATTTATTATAGCCTAATAATGAAGAAAATCTTTCTATTCTAGTAAATACATAATTATATACTAGGAAGGACACAATTTCTTGGCTTAAGTTATATAAGTTTATAATTCAATAAAATAGCATACATATTAATGAAAATTCTGATTTCTTGGAATAGAGAGTAGTCCACTTCTAGTTTTGGATTGTGTGACGCAATCTTGGGCATGAAAAGCTTATGAATCTTCTTGCCTTATCTTTCTTCCTTCGTCTCTCTAATTTCTTGTTGTGGTCTCAATTCTCAAGCCCTAAATCATCTCCAAATTTTTCGGCAACAAGAATACATATGGCTAAACAACCAAATTGATATTTAAAAAAGACCCATTTTACCGCTTTGTTATTTTAAATATCTCCGATGACGTTTTGGTATTTAAAGTGAGTCACATAGGTCTAAAATGTCATCGGCGTTAATTTCTCCCGGCGGGAAAATTTATTACTAACCCCGGCCTCTTAAAGTTTGTATTTTACACCCTTCTTGACCTTCTTCTTCCCAAATTCAAATTCTTTTACCAATCCCTCCTTCAACCTCTCTTTCTCTCTAATCAATGGAGTCTCCTCCTCCTTCAACCTCTCATCAGTATGAATGTAAACATCTAATTTCTGCTTTGCTTTAAAAAGCAAGCAGCAATTGAGCGATGGCTTCAATAGTGAGGGGTGTGTCCAAGCCCACTAAAGAAAAGGGCATCACAAATTTTGTCAGAGATCTCAAAGATGAAAGCTATTTGAAATGCCTTCCTGACGGGAATCCACTGTAAACAAAAATCCACAATATTGGAGCAACCCTTGTTCAAGTTGATAAATTTGGAAACAAGTACTATGAGAAACTGTAGAACACTCAAAATGGACGACACAGGTGGGTAGAGTATGCAGAGAATGGACGCTATAATGCTCCCCAAGTGCCTCCTGAGCGGCATGGTTGGTTGCACTTCATCACAGACCACACTGGCGATGAGCTTCTAATACTGAAACCGCAGAGGTACAGAGTGGAGCACAAGCAGAACTTCGCTGGAGAAGGCAAGCAGTACATCTACCACTCGAAGGGTCACACTCTGAACCCTGGGCAAAAAGACTGGACTGGATACCTGCCACAGCAACCCACCAAAACCTCAAAGATTCATTCTTGTTGTGAGATATGCTGATGACTCATCGAAGACCTTTGTTCTCAATGTAACCATTTAGGCATTTACTGTAGTCTCTTTTCAGGCTGTCATGCTCATTCAATAAGTGGGATTTGATTTGATGTTCTGGAAACAGTATTATGTACCTTTCAAGTCCAGTCCATCAAAAATGGATGATATTCGCACTCTTTTGTTTTAATAAGGATCCTGTGGAATTGACTGTCTAAGAAATTGCAAAAAAGCCCATTCAATCCCACATTACCTTCCAGAGCTGCTTATCCTCTTCACCTCGCTCAACCCTCTTGTAGGTCTGAACCAATCAACAACCCTCATGCAACTGCCTCTCATAAATTCTAACACCCTTCTCCTCCTCCGCCTCCATGGTCACAAGCCCAGTAACCATAACGTCCTCCTCCTTGATAAATTTTGACACAACCTCCACCAACTTAACCTCCCCCTTCTCCTCTTGATGAGAGAGACTCCATTGATGAGAGAGAAAGTGAGGAAGAAGGACGGAAGGCTAAAAGAAATTTGAATTTGGGAAGAAGACTAGGGAGTGGGAATAAAGTTTCCCATAAAAAAAATAACACCGATGATAATTTGGCCCTATGCATTAACCTAAACCCACTTTAAATACCCAAATATCATCGGAGATATTTTAAATACCAACGCGGCAAAATGAGTCTTTTTTAATACCAATTTGGTAGTTTACTGCTTTTACAACACACAAGCGTGTGCAGGTTGAATACCAAATAATACTCAGCTACAATATAAATAAAGTAATTTGTTGCTCTCCTGATAACAGTTTTTGGCGTCATAACAAACTAATAGGCACCATATATCCTAAAGGAGCTAACATATAATATTTTATGTATTGTTACTGCTTGTAAAAGAGTATAAAGTAATATGTCAGAAAGATGAATAACGTCAACAGCTTGAAATATACAGCACTACAGCTGGTTATTTGTCTACCACAAGAGATGCAGAAAATAACAATAAAACCGATCAAGCTAATGTATTCAGTTTGGATTGCATAATGGAGAACCCATAAGTAATTTTTGCTGCCCGCTATCTTCAGTACAAAAGCAACTTTAAAAGCAAAAAAAACACAGTTCAGAGTGAATTGAACAAATCACTAAAATAGCAACCCCAAGAAAGAAAAAACAGATTTCCAGATAGAAAAACTTATACAACAAAATATACAATAACTCAAAAGTATTAAATTTACAGTTTTTTCTAGAATGTTAGGATTTCCATAGATAAAAAATTAAATCAGCCGATGTTTAAAAGGCAAGACTTACCCAGGAAGTTGACCTGCATGTTCCGCGGTAGGCATTTGCTTCCCATGGCTTAAGCAATGCAAAGGTCTGAAGAAATGTGTGTCAGTGACATGAGAAGATTTCTTCAGGGGAATCTGATGGCGATTTGTTGGCATTATCCGTGTATCCCATACCAGGCTACTATTTGAAGTGCTAGAGACGCTAAAGTAGGTTCCACATCCACTAAATGAAACTGACGTCACCTGTATAAATACAGAACAAAGTTTCTGCTATTAGGAGCCCCAACTGCAAACAAGTTGTAGCCTTAGTTACCAGCAAGGATGCAAAATAACTGGTCTGAAGCAGATGCTATGATTCTAGCTGGCACTAACCCAGCTTACTAGCAAAAACATTGAGCTCCTACCCCCCAGAAAGCAGAGTCTGACAAATTTTAGACCCAGACCCTATGGGTCCACTAGGAGGAGAGACAGTGATTGAACGGGAAGCACAGATACTGCAGCAAGAGGGAGAAAACAAGAGGGCTAAGTCATAGGAACACAATAAAAATCAGTTTACAGCTCTCCTTTTCCCCCCCATCTTTCCCTGCTGCTTCCGTTCGTTCTTCACCAGGACCTCCTTGAGGCCCTGAGGAGACAAAAGGACTATGTAATGGAATTATGGGAACAAATGAAAAGTAGGTTACCAGTTCCCCTCTCCTTTCCTTTAGTTCTTCCTTTCTTTCTTTTCAGTGTCTCATTGAGGTGAAGCAACCACTAAAAGAAGAAGAAAGCTGCTTCTAAAGGAAATTATCAATATTTACACGTTTAGAAATAGGCAGTATAGCCGTTTAGGTCAATTATCAAAATGAAGGCCAAACAATTTTTGATGATGTTTAAAATAGGATACACTGAAAAGCAAACCAAACCATAGAAATTATCTATGTTTCACAATCATTAATGTGGGATTAAACACATGGAAATAAAATTACATGACATGATTTAGAAACGTAAGAAAAAGAACAATGGTTTGAGGTCAAACCCCATTCCTAAGCTACAAAGGTATCTGGAGTCACCAAATGAAGGAAAAACAGAATAAGTATAAGGGGATCATCAACTAAAGTCATCCGTACTGAAGAGCATTTTACCTCGTAATCAGATCCAATGGAGAGATAGTTAATTGCACCACATGTTCGAATATCAAATAAGCCAACAGTTCCATCTCCAGAACCTAGCCATTGAAAGGTGTCCAAGAAGCTCATGACAATACTTAATAAAATAAATGACAAAATGACC